ACCCCCGTACGTAGCTGGAAACAATAAGCAGTGTAGTCAAGAAAAATAATGAAAATCAGTACATAAATAGACCTTGTCTTGTAAAAAATACCCAAAACAGCTTTTTTTTTATTTAATTTTTTATTGCTTAAATGGGTGGACGAGCTCACAGCCCACCTGATGTTAAGTGGTTACTGGAGCCCATAGACATCCACAACGTAAATGCGCCACCCACCTAGAGATCCAAGTTCTAAGGTCTCAAGTATAGTAACGACGGCTGCCCCACCCTTCAAACCGAAACGCATTACTGCTTCACGGCAGAAATAGGCAGGGTGGTGGTACCTACCCGCGCGGACTCACAAGAGGTCCTACCACCAGTAAAAAATTGTATATTAATACATATACAATCCACACTGACGATATTAACAAGAAACGAACTGTTTGTTACGACTTGTCGCCCACACTGTAAAGGCTTTGATAAAATTAATTGTGGAAATGATTTGAACCTGGAAATAATACAGAACGGCTTTGCCCACGCGATAAGAAGTATCGTCCAACTGGGTGAAACTGTAGTCGGATAACTATTTAATGAATAGAGGTACCATGAGAGAGAGAGAGCACCAATTAGGTACGAGCAAGAAGTTTCAAGAATAATATATGTACAACCATAAAATCTTTATAATTAAGAAAGAAATCTTTATAAATAGTAGACTCAGCGTGATATATCAATATTATTGTCGCGTTGGCCACATCGGAGTCACTCAGTCAGCGCCGTATCCCAAAGTCAGTAAAGGAATTCACGGTTTGAAAGGTTTCGTAAAGCACTTAACATCGGACGTGCAGAGAGAATGTAGTGCAAAAAAGAGGTCAATTTAATTGTTTGGATACGTACCTATAAAATAATTGACATCAATAAGTAGAGACATCTTGTAGCAATTACAGTTCGATTTGCTGAAATAGACCTGAAGAGCCGCCAGCTCACTCACATTGCGCCCTCGACTGAAACCAATGTAGACACTTTCAGAAAAGACATTAATAAGAAACGATACTGGCGGTAGGACCTCTTGTGAGTCCGCGTGGGTGGGTACCACCACGCTGCCTATTTCTGCCATGAAGCAGTGATGCGTTTCGGTTTGAAGAGTGGGGCAGCCGTTGTAACTATACTTGAGACCATAGAACTTATATCTCAACGTGGGTGGCGCATTTAGGTACGTTGTGGATGTCTATGGGCTCCAGTGACCACTTAACACCAGGTGGGCTGTGAGCTCGTCCACCTATCTAAGCAATAAAAAAAAACGCAATATCCTAGTGCCAATCTAAATAACTGGACAGGCGGGGGTGTGCAAGCAAAAGCTCAGCCAGGAAGGGTAGGATTTGCTACCAGATACCCAAGCGTCTCCAAAAGAGACCTAACAACTCAAGAGCAGCAGTTTCGCGAATGTATCTACTATCGGATGAGAATAGCAACCTGCTGAGAAGACCCGAGTGGAGAAACTCAGCGGACTGTGCATGGGTTAGGTTGCTACGGTTACCAGAAACCTATTGCGTTTACAAATCTGACTGTCGCAATTCAATTTGAAACTCGGGATGTTAAGTTTCTCTCTCGTATGTTTTTTATTTTTTATTGCTTAGATGCGTGGACGAGCTCACAGCCCACCTGGTCCTTAAGTGGTTACTGGAGCCCATAGACATCTGCGACGTAAATGCGTCACCCACCTTAAGATATAAGTTCTAAGATCTCAAGTACAGTTACAATACATACATACAATATGTTGATTCACATTGCTATTTATTGTTTTATTACAGGCTACTTATTGTACCGACAACAACTGATACCGTATAATAAAATAAAATAAACTGTTCCGTATTATTTCAGTACGTGTAAATTATTAAATCGCTCTATGTGTGCATTCCATAGTATTATATATTTCCAACCTCATATTTTTTAAAGCATAATACTTAATTTGTTATGAATACAGCAGTGTGGAGTGACTAAATACAACAAATGCTAGTGCTCCAAGAACTTAGTCGTGTTTTCAATTAAAAGTTAAACGTTCTACCGAGTGGATTCTATTCAAGTCCAAAGAAGTTTGTCAACCGATGAACTAAGCTTTGAATTAAGAAAACTCCAATCAAACTTTTTTCTTTTCCATTTTATTTACTGGAAAATGAAAATTAGAAATACATTAAAAAGTTTATGCGGAAAATATTCAATTTATTACGGTCGATTTACGACCCACCCGATATTACCATGATACCTTCCACTTTGACACACGAGGTGAGAGTCTCAGTATTATAATTAATTTTGAAAGCAGATATTCCATCCTTTGAACTACAACCCACAAACCTTCGACGCAGAAATAGCCGCAATGCTGTTTCTTATTATAATTGGTTCACGATGTCCCCTACCACGAGCTATTTGTTAATTTTAGTCATAGATTTATATATTCGATGATAATTAAATGTAAAATAATAAAAAATGAAGGTTAAATATAGGAAGGACTTATTTGAAAATAAAATATGTTCTAGCGTACCCTGAAGGATAGGCGAAATCGAGTACCAGTGAGATGAGCTCCCGAGGTGCGTTCGTCATATTTGTTAATATCGCGAATTGTTAATTAATACACTAGTTAAACTCACAGCCTAAACAACTGATTAAAAAAAGTTGAGTGTGTGGAATTGAAATGTAAAGTATGGGGTGTTCTCGAAAACGGGCTTTGGAAGACTATGGATGTCAAAAGAAATGAATAAAAACACGTTTCTATTATGCTCTATTAGGCTTCGGTAGGCAGCGGCTTGGCTCTGCCCCTAGCGTTGCTGAAGTCAATGGGTGACGGTAACCACTCACCATCAGGTGGGCCGTATGCTCGTCTGCCTACACGGGCAATAAAAGAAAGGCTAGATTGGTGATGATCTAACATAGCCTAATCGAAGGGTGTCAGTTACTTGTGAGCTAGATCAGGTTGGTGAATTATCTGATTATTCTAAGACGAATGATAGTAATATCCAATCCGGCCGATAATAGCCTTAGGTTGATTTTAACTACCACTTTAAAGCCGCGTTGTTAGAGAAGCTTTGCGGAGCTTAAGTACTCAAAAACCAATAACGCGCATCGTTAAAGTTTTCTTTTCTAAGTTTTCAGATAACCCTTGAAGTATCATAAAACGAAATGGCTCGCATCAACTGTGCGATGGTAGTTGAAATAAATACGAAGCTAACCGATTGCTTCAGTGAACTAATATAGAACGGCAGTTCGTCATGAAAGACAAGAATGTTTTACATAAAATATTCACTCATAAGCCATCCATCCATACTGATTCACAACTATAAGAAAACATAGGTATTTCTTGTATTTTCTTTCGATATTCGCGCGTCTTAGATACAAAACTGCCTTAATCTCGCGGTTATTATTGCCGATGTTTCTAAGGCCGTTGACAGTTTTCATAATCTGGTATTACATGGATGTTACTCGTCGAGATTTGAACCATATTCTATATATTGGTATATCATTTCCTGCATATGACATACCAAGCTAAATTTTTTTATCCAAGAATACTACTCCCACAATACCGTGACCCATGTTTTCCAGAGTCATTTTTGGAATGGTGAAAATGAGTTCAGCAACCACTCTGAACTGATATAAGATGATGAGTGATTGTGGTCGAGGGAATCAATATCAAATTATGAAGTCGAACAGATCTGTTCGATATATTTACCTAAATATTGTATGTTCTGCAATGCTGAGCCCAAGACATTTTCGTGAAAACTTTTGATAATCTACATATAAATAAAGTCGACACTTAAAAATTTAATAAGCAATATCCTATATACGGAACCTATTCTATATACGAGGGCGGCACTGAAAATTTCGGGAATTAACGAAGTGACACAACATTACTATTTAAAAATGTATTTATTGCTTTTCGAAGTATTCTCCGCGAAATTTGACACATTTTTCCATACGATGGAACCAATCATTGAAGCAACTATTCCATTCGGAAGTTGGGGTCTCCAAAATGGCCGTTTTGTAGGCGTGAACAGCTTCTTCAGGTGATGAAAATCTCTGTTCACGCAATTTATTCTTTATTTTAGGGAAAGTATAGAAATCATTAGGGCTTAGGTCGGGGCTTTTTTTTTTTTTTTTTTTTTTTTNATCGCTCTTGAATTTTCTCGAGTCAATTCCATTTTCTCAACGACTAAACAAGTTTGACAAAACCTCGTGACAAGACCGAGAATCTTTTTTTAAATAAATAAATGGTATTCGATTTTTAAAACCAAGGAGTTTTCAATTAAAAAGATTTTAATATGACAGGAACAGTGGAAATATTCCATTCCCGATACTTTTAGTGCAGCCTAGTACTTATACGGAACTCGAGTGCCTGAATCATTTTCGCAGTGAGGAGAGTACATTCTCGAGGAGCCAGTGGGCTCAAACACGGAGAGGGGGCACAGAGGGCATCCTCGATTCGATGTTCGAATCCCGCAGACAAGTACCAATTCTTCTAATGAAATATTATACGTACTTAACAAATGTTCACGAATGACTTCCACGGTGAAGGAATAACATCGTGTAATAAAAATCAAACCCGCAAAATTATAATTTGCATAATTACTGGTGATAGGACCTCTTGTGAGTCCGCGCGGTTAGGTACCACCACCCCGCCTATTTCTGCCGTGAAGCAGTAATGTGTTTCAGTTTGAAGGGTGGGGCAGCCGTTGTAACTATAATTAGGTAGGCATTTGGTAGGCAGCAGCTTGGCTCTGCCCCTAGCATTGCTGAAGTCCATGGGCGACGGTAATCACTCATCATCAGGTGGGCCGTGTGCTCGACTGCATTGAAAGGCAACAAAAAAAAACAAAAAAAAAATTTGGGACCTTAGAACTTATATCTCAAGGTGGGTGGCGCATTTACGTTGTAGAAGTCTATGGGCTCCAGTAACCACTTAACACCAGGTGGGCTGTGAGCTCGTCCACTCATCTAAGCAATAAAAAAAAAACGAACATTATCTATAAGAGATTACTCACGAAACATTATTAGGATAATCTTCGGGGAGGAAGGGCAGGAGATCGCTTGTGATGCTATATTTTTTATCCTGACATTCCATGTAACACATCGGCTTGCAATCCATGTTCTCACGTGACTTATAAACTGAAAAATTAAATTCGTTTTACCATTTAGTTTTTTAATTACACTAGAGTACAAGAGCTTATGAATCATCTGGTGTCTAGGTGTTGTTAGAACCTCATAGCATGAGACATGAGTTCGAAGTATCAACTGTCTAACGGCCGCCCCACTCTTCAAAAAAGAACGCACGTTTGGTTCACAGGAAAAACCGAGGATGCTGGTACATACCCGTCTGGCCTTACAGTACGCCATATTACCTAATGAATGAATGAATGAATGATTGATTTATTTTATTTCAGGCAACAACAAGTCCATATGTGTACATAGTATCATTGAATCATACTTAAAATTAACAAAACCAATCAAATAAAAAAGATACATTTATTAAAAATAATTATCAGTTGAATGCGTTTCGAATATTCCATTCAACTGATACTTACTTGGAACCAACCATTATTATTATTATTATTACCTAATTAAATTTTAATAATAATAATATACGAATGCACTATATGCATCATCAAGTAAGCCAAATAATAACACATCATGTACACGTGTTCAAATAAAACATACCTGTGACATTGTTGAGGCAATTTAAATCTTCAAATTCACATATCCTTGTTGACTTCTCTAATTCAGAAAACAAATTAATTATTGAAAACAGATATTTCCCTCATATTACCGTAATGTAACTCGACGCCCAAACAAAATTGATTCGGAAAACAGTTTTCTTTAACAACAAATAGGTTTTCTTAAATAAATTTTTTTGATTTTTCTAGTATTCATTCTATGCGATAGCTACGCAGCAGTTGTCTCAATATTTTTAAATACGTTTTTAGATTAATTTAGTTATATTTTTTAACTAGTCAAATCAGTAAAATTATGCTAATGATCACAATATTGTAGCAATTCCTTTCCGGGGTCGAGAGTCGTTAATGCGAAAATCAAGTGATACAGTGCGCCCCATGGCGTTTCAGAATTAGGCATAAACGTAAACACAATCATATTTATGACAAAGATAACGATTGAAACCCTATAAAAGAAGAGAAGTAGGGCTGAAGGTTTTATAAAATTTTCGGTATTAATCCGATCCTGATTCGCAACAATGCTTGTTGGTAACTGACAATGTCGTCAGCTTCAGCTGGGCTCGGGGTGATGAGGCGAATGAGCTGAATTGAAGCCCGTAACAAATTAAAAGTATAAAGAAATCATAATAGCAGTAAAATTAAAGTTTGAATTGAAAATGAACACATAAAATACTTTTCCTTATTATCTAAGTGTAATAAATAGATTTAGGCATATTTATTTAGGTACTTTGAAAACAGAGGGATTTTAATTGAATTCTTGATAACCTTGATTTATTTTTATTTAAAAAAAGTATTTACCTCTTGGGTACTTAAAGGGGATACATCCACAAGTATCCAAGTAAGTCTTCATCTTGCATTCGGTGTGACAAGTTTCGAAACTATATCTGTCAGTGTGCCCTAAGATCACTTCATCGTGAAACCAGCAAGCCCTTTTGTCGGGGACCACTCTGCGAATGTTAGACTCACTCTGGAAAACCATCGGGTCAACTTTGATGGCCACTGATTCCCCTAAGGTTATGAAACGGTAGAGCACTGTTGTTTCCGGATAATCGTTGGGGTCACTGATGAGGACCTTGAAAATATTAGAAAAATTTGTTGTAGTACTTGGGTTATACAATTTATCACTTGATCTGAGGTGTGAGGTCCAATAAACATTTCAAAATCGCCTACAATGCTCTAAAGATACCACAGATACACATTATCAACGTTTCAAAGTCGGTTACCATGTTCTAAATAACACACATACATATAATATTTTCTATCGTAATTAATGACAAAACTTAGACATAATAATATGGTGTCTTTTGTTGTAGACACACACAATGGTATCATGTAAATAAAAGGTATATGTATATATTTTTAATATTTTGCGTTTGAAATTCAATTTTACGCAATATATTTATCATTTACTTTCTGTAACTAGGTGGGTATATAGGCAAATTAACATTCAGATTATTTAAATCTAAATCAGAAATCTTGTATCAAATACAAATTTTACAGAACATTCGTAAATCATTTTATTAAAAAAAAAAGCACATAAAAATGAAGTCACGCTGTGTCAGATTCACTTTACTCTATGAAAAACTCGGATTTTTTTTAAATGCCACTTTATGCTGGTGAGTATCCTAATGGTAAGAGTCACCACGGTTGCCAGGTTCCCGGTTCTTGGACATTAGCATTGCCAGAAACACAGTTTTTCACTGAACTTCATACTTGACGAAAACATGTAAATGTATTATTGTATAGCAGCTGTCCATGCGGATGCATTCCTCACTCAAGTAGGAGAAAGACAGATGTCGAACGCTGCCGAACGCGGAGGCCGATTGTGCCTCTTTGTCGCTCGTTGCGCGCTCTCGCTTGCACTTCAAGCCTTAAATGGAACGCCTCAGAGCGAGGTAACGCCACATGAGTAATGTTTTTTCGTGCGTGCAGACGGCTCCAGCGAATTATAAGACGTTGTCACCTCAAAAAAATCTGAGCAATCCTCATCTTAGACTTTAATATTTACAGTGGTTATACAGATGGAACAGACTGTTTGACGCCATGATCCTCTTGCAAGCGGTCACGGCCTCAAGCCCTGGTGATCNACCTTAAACGTGAGCTGATGAGCTGAAAGGGAGCAAATGAACTCTGCGGAGAATGAGCGGACACGAAAGGGTAGGTAGGAAAACGGGACTTACTTGGAGGCTGATGCTGGCACTATCACGGTCGTAGTGGTGTTCCTCTGCGATGGGTGGCACATACACCCTTTCACCGGTTCACACTCAACCTTTTACTTAGTAACGAAAGGCGCGCGCGCACAATTTACTCAATATCGAACGAGCGTATATCCGCGTGCCGTCATGTACCGCACTGTTATGAGAGGTGCGGGGTGCGTACGGGCGACGGCACCCGAGTTGAGCCGAACATTTATGAACGTCGCGCTGTCGCGCGAACATACACGATTATGAGTTTTTATTTTTTATTTATTTTTATTGCCCTTGTAGGCAGACGAGCATACGGCCTACCTGATGGTGAGTGGTTACCGTCACCCATGGACTTCAGCAATGCCAGGGGCAGAGCCAAGCCGCTGCCTACCGCTTAATACTCTCCACAACCCCGTTTGAACAAGGACGCTCCTAATATTACCTTGACTCCGTAATAAGGAATAGGTGACCAGCTCGGATAGTCTCCGGGCTCCACATTGAAGACGACACTTAGACCGGACATCCTGAAAAGACCCTGAATTGATTAAGTTCATTTGAAATCATCTCAACCCAGCATCGCATGATACGAGTCGATCGAAGGTTTATTGATCACATGACCACAAGGTTATCGAGGTTTTATCAGAGTACTCAGCATAATACACCACTTGCAGACAAGCCGGGACCCAAACATTACTGATCATCAGTATGTCAGTCTTTAAGGGGCATTAGTTATGATGATGCCCCTCAGCAACTGTTACTACCTGAATTTGACAATCACTAAATAATAATCATGATAGTTAAAAAGAAATTAAATTGAAAGAAGAACAACTTCAAAGAATCCGTTGATCCAACATTATTCGACATAATTTTTTGTTAAATAGATGTTGACAGGTTTCCTCGTGAACGAATGTTTTGTGTATTCCGAATATTGATCAAAATAATTTTACTGACGGAAAAACAGCCATATTTAATGGTACACGTGCTGGTTTCACAATCGAATCACGACAGGAAAAAGAAGTGAATGCTCAATCACAATTTTCTACCGTCATTTTATGTATTATTTACAATAATATAATTCTGTAATTGTAATTTGCCTATGCATGAAATACATATTAATGAAGTCACCATTACATTCAATGGAAAAAAAATAAAATACATGTGTGCAATTCACACGTGGTAGAAGTGAAACCTTCCAAAATTAAAATACAATTATCCTAAACGTCTTAAGTATATGTAAAATTTTGTCATTAGTAAATAATTGTAAGGTAGCGCCCTCTGTGAATTGATATTTTAATTTCACGTATAATCCTAAATTAAAATTCACTACAAGAGCTTTCATACACACGTTAGTATTAAAAAATCTCACAGATGGCGCTGTATTAAATAGTATGTATATTTCTGTCTCATTCTTTGCTGGCTTCATCCTACACATTTTTGTATTTGTGTCTCTTACCTGTCGTTTTTTCCGTTGCATCCGGTTTGAAATCACAACGATTCTAAAGAAGTTTTCACTTCAAAAATATTTCGGAATGCGCTTTGACGTATTTCAGTGAAAAACTGTTAAGCTTTAAATTTCACTAGTTGCAGTTTTTCGTTAAATTAAATACTGCGATTAGCTCATGAATTTTTAAGAAGAATATTAACAATCAAACACTTCATAGGGTAGTAGTATCAGGAAAAGTACGACTCTATTAAACTATTTGGTTTTACCGTTTCTTCTATTTTTATGGCAAAACAATCTTTGAATCTGGTTTGAAAGGCAATATAGTCGTGTTTCCAATAGAAACTTAATGTGAAATGGTGAATAGACGCATTAAATCGGCACTGACGTAGACTATGAATTTGCCTACCCGTCTAAGCCAATTTGTATGCCTATCAAATACGTGAAGATTATTAATTCACATAAATACCCGCCAGATTCCGATGTGGTAATAATCCCACTAGTTTGAGTTAGGGCGTCTTGATTCTGATCTTCATAATATTCCAAGTCTTCATCCGGAGGTAGCAGAGGTCTATAAATAATTATGCCGTTTAGTAATAGTTTTATGTCTTTTAATCAGCAAGTCTTATCTTATACCACTACAGCGTGTACTTCATAACGGATACCACAAATTTACCGATGATTTGGTTAAACACGATTTGGTAGGTGAGCTCACGGGGCTCAACTTAGGAAAACTTGCTAACAATAGCCCTAGCAAAAACAGTACTTCGCAGAATCTACCACTGGATCGGAATCGCAACCCAATGAGACTATCCGGCGAGAAATACAATGGGTGCACTTGCACGTCGAGCTCTTCTTCACAGTTTTGATAGTCGTCGTGGCCTAAAGGATTCTCATCCTTCGTCCGATGCATTCGTGTTAAAGCGATGCACCGGTGTTCGAATACCAGGCGGGTGCATCGTGTAATAAAAAAAAAAACCAGGAATATTATAATTTGCGTAATTACTGGTGGTAGGAGGACCTCTTGTGAGTCCGTGTAGGTAGGTACCACCACCCCGCCTATTTCTGCCGTGAAGCAGTGATGCGTTTCGGCTTGAAGTGTAGGGCAGCCGTTGTAACTATACTTGAGACCTTAGAACTTATATCTCAAAGTGGGTGACGCATTTACTTTGTAGATGTCTATGGGCTCCAGTAACCACTTAACACTAGGTGGGCTGTGAGCTCGTCCACCCATCTAAGCAATAAAAAATAATAAAAAAGACATTCGAAGAGTTCGACGAGAACCGTGGCCTGTGCTTGGAGTGTCTAAAAACACAAAGAATGGATCGGGAGGATTCGATACAACACTTAGAGGGTCGGATTCACATTTTATGTTTATTGCACCATTCATTGGCTCATGGACATTGCGCAGGAGCCGACCGTGAGGATTAGCCGTGTGAGGCTTAGTGATGTAGAAGGTTTATTGTGCGCTCTCCTCCGGAAACCTCATCAGAGTGGTCAATAAAACACTGAGTATATGGGCTTCTTTTTTTTTTCTACTTATGCTGATGGCCTTGAGAGGCTATTTCAGCTTCACCCTAACGTTTGTAGGTGAGCTCACGGGGCTCAACCGGAGAGTTGCTAACACTGACCCTAGCAAGAGCAGTGCTTCGCAGAATCTACCACCGGATAGAAACGCGACCCACTGAGAAGATCCGGCAAGAAGCTCAGTGGGCTGTGTCTATGGGTTAATTCGCTCGTCGAGCCCTTCCTCGCAAGCGACGGGTTCGACGAGGACGGTGACCGGTGCTTGTGGTGCCTAAAAGCACCGTTAATAGATCAGGTGGATCCGTAATGACGTGCTTTGGGCGACGTCGACGGTTTACCATTTGGTCTACAGGGTCGGGTATGTAGTTTCCAGCGGCCACGATAAGAGGGTTCTCATGTCGCCTTCTCAAAGTGGCGCAGCGATGCCGACTGTAGATACTGACGGAGTGGGCTTGTGGCGTTTAAGAACGCACCTTTTTATGATGCGTGAGCCGGAACGCACGAAATGTGGGAAATAGAAGATAGTCTGTGACACCGGACCTTTTTACCGCCGAAAATACAAAAGACGAAAAAAAAAGTGTATAACTTATAACTGTGTAAGCAGCTGCAACAATAAAACTCTTATTGTTTTAATTGTGGTTTTAATACAAGTATTCCAAAAACATGATTTTCGCGCGAAATAAAGAAGGGACTCTATACGGACTCCCCCACGCTGAAGCACAGATATGCCTTGAATTCCTCTTTAAGCTTAGTTCAAAATTAAGGTATATTAATATCTACTCAAAACAAATTTTCTTTCCCGTAGATTTGTTTTTCTTAAGTTTTTCAGACTTAGTTTTCTTCGGTGCCAATATTTTCACTCCTTAGTTGTTCGAGTGCTATTAATATGCCTTAAGTTGGAATACAAAGGAACTTTAAGTAAGCATACGGCCACTTATATTCTTTAGCTTTTATTACTGTTAGAGTTAAACTTATTTAACTAAACATAAAATGATATGTAGCAATAGAGTTAAGAAAACTATAAAATAAACATATCTTGGCATTCGGCTTATCTCTCCTCTTAAGAGGTTGTCTTTCGACAAACGCCTCCTCTAAGGATTTCCATTTGCTTTTGTCCTTTGCTGTACGTAACGTTCTATACTATACTGTATCATATAATCATAACGGTATTCCATACTCACACCTCACTTGCATCATTCAAAGCAGCGTAATTGAAAGTACAGCAGTAACCCTCATAAGTCTTGATAAGACTGAACAGATTGTCACATCGCTTCTCCTTTCTATTGAACGAGCAATAGATTAACAAGTTTTCGCATTTCTGATGGACCTGCAAGATGTAAACGAAAATATAATAAAGTCAATGCAAAAAAAAACAGAGCGAATTTGCTTGAAATGGCTTTAGCATTTAAGTTGAAATAAAACAAATTTCATTTTGAACAATATTCTTGGACGCATTTAAAAATAGGACTGTATGTACTACTCGTTTCTTACATTTACAATAGAAACTTTTATGTAATAAATACGAGAATGTTTGTGTGTATATTAATATTAAAACCTCCATCCTAATCACTTGAAAGGTTTCTCATATAGTCATTAGTGGTATTATTAATGAGTTCAAAGTATTATTATAATAGAACGCTATTTTTTTTTTTATCTATTTATTGAATGCGTGAACAAACTCATAGCTCATCTTGTGTTAATTGTTTACTGTGGAGCTCTTAGAAAATATCAAGAACCACAAAATAAATGCTGTACCTCACTTAAGACATGAGATTCAAATCTCAGTTGTATAACGACTGTTGTTCAATTGCGGACACTTCAAACCCGAATTTCATTGCTTTACATATAATACGTGGGTGAGCAGACAAACTTCAGTGATATAAGTGTTGTTGTTGTTGTTTTGTGTGTGTTCAAATCATAAAACTTACTTCTTCCATTATCGTGTCCATTGTAAAGTAGTGATGTTTCAATATGGCCAAAATTTCCGTGAAATTGTTACTCTGCTTAACATTATCTTTTAAGGCGGCTAGTCCGTTGAAAAACTTGTGTATACGATCATCAGTGATGTTGTATCTTTTTCTGTATAAAAAACAGCAAATCGAGTCAAATTTTAAATCTAGTTCTTACATCATAGTCGTGCAATGATATGTTCTTTGATGTCGTAACCATACCATCTGAAGGCTCTTCTTTTCTTAACGGTTACCAAAACCAAGGACTGCATTTGTTTTCTACCGTGGAAGCTATGAGTGAATATGTCATCATCATCCTCATAGTCGGTTACTCTTGTCAAAGCAGTCGTGGTCATGTGAAATCCTTCTCAATGAAAGCCCTGATAGGTTTTCTCTATAGTTCACGAACTGAGGCTTGGCACACGCACTCGTTAAATTGGGTTTTGGTAAGGACTTTCACTTGATCGGTCTAGCGCATGCGGTTTCGTCCATAAGAACTTTTACCATTGATCCTACCCTGAACTGAAAACTACCATGAACATACATTTCTCGATAGATATCAAGTATGTACATATTGGGAATATTCAGTGTCAATTTCAAGCCACGGCTTAGTTGCACGACTGCACTAGCCATTTTATTCCAAAGTCATCCTTAGATGAGCATCCTTAGATGAATTTCGAGCAGGGTATGCCTTATGACGCACAATGAATCTTTGTGCGTTTTAATATTCAAAGTAATGTATGCTCTATTGGGTGGTGTATATATTACGAGTTCGGAAAATAACTCACAACACTGTCTCTATATTCTTGGATTCTTTCAAAGATACCACGTTGAAGTTGCACAAGCTGACGGCCGGGAATGGAACTTGGTTGACTTTACAGTTTGCGTTGATCTTTAAAGCATAATTTATTAAATTAATTATACATACATATATGTGCATATTAATTAGGGCTATTTTGTTGTGAAAAATATAGTTTATGTTTGCTGGCTTTAGGTTGATATTTCTTCGGCAAAATACCACGATTATTTCAATAATCTTCGTCTCCCAGTGCTATAGTCTTTTTGCCGGTATTAAGATGTACTGTGAGTCTATATGGGTAGATACCACCATCCTGACTATTTCTAAAGTAAAGCAGTTAATCTCTTGCGTCCGATTTGAAAATTTAAATAAGACTATGTAATAAGTATACACGTTTTGACTGGACCAAACCTTATAGATATAAAAACGCAAATGCTATGTCACTTAAAGTATAGAGGTAAAAGTTATTATTAAATTGATATGCTTTTGTACGAGCATGTTACGTATTATTTGAATTTATCTTAAATCGATTTCTCGTCCTCAATGTGGTAAAGATTTAAAAATTGTTTCACCATGTAATTTCAAATTATAAAATTAATGAATTTTTCACCTGAGTTACAATTTGAAAGGCATTAAATTTGTTTGTAATGAGCACAACGAATGCTATTGTTATTAACAGTGTCCCAAACATTATTGACACCCAGAGTCTTAAGGGAGTTCCTTCGAGAAACTGCAAATGGTTAGTTCCGTGTATTGTGTGAGTATTCTTCAAAAATGTCATACATGGTTTGTTAGCTTTTTTCCTTGGAGGAAGCTTTTGTGACATTGTTGTCTCTACAAATTTCAGTTGCATTATTAATTAAGAATAAATTTTTCGTTTAAAAAATATATAATTATTTAGAAAAAATAATTAAAGCTATTTTTACGAATTAATTTCGTATTCATTATTGTTATAAATGTTATTTTTGTTATTATTTTTTGATCTTGCTTAGCGGGTCGACGAGCTCACGGCCCACCTGGTGCTAAGTGGCTATCGGAGCCCATAGACACCTACAATGTAAATTCCGCCATCCACCTTGTAACATGAGTTCTAAGTCTCAGTTTTTACAGTAAGTACAACGGCTGGCTCATTTTTCAAACCGAAACACATTACTGCTTCACGGCAGAAATAGGCAGAGTGGTGGTACCTTCCCATGCGGACTCACAAGATGCTCTACCACCAGTCATCACGCAAATTAGAATTTTTGTCGGTTTGATTGATTTCCATATTACACTATGTTAATACTTCACAGTAGAAGTCTTACGTGAACTTTTGGTAAGTACGTATTTCATCAGAAAAATGGTACCTGCCTGCGAGATTCGAACCCCGGTACAGTCGCATCGGTAAATACGAATACACCGAGCGACTTATCTTTTAGGCCACAACGACAACAAAACTAAACTCAAAACAAACTAAAGTGTCATTTTTTACGATGGGGAATCCGTTTACAGATATCCGGTCGAGGGGGGTAAAAAATGTAAATAAAAAAGGTAAAAAATTAAAATGCCTAATTCTCATTTTGACGGGTTAATAACTTTATGGTATGAGATGCAAGATAATGCCATAAAACAAGACTCTTCTGTTTATTCATATTATGTATTTTAACAGTAATGAATAAGAAATTATTAATAAATATTTACGTGAGGACTCCCGAAGCCAGGCACCAGGAAAGATGACTTCATTAAATCCTCTTCTCTGAAGTCTTTTTGATCAAGGCTTTTTATCTTATTAGCCCTTTGTCTGTGCTTCCACACGAATTACTCCAAATAAATGAATCATACTTTCTATCCAAACTTTGTTAATTAAATTACTTACTTTTAGACCTTTTCAATTTGAACCAAGAGATTTCGGTAATTTTGTGTTTGCGTGACGAGTGGTAATTTATTTAGTTTTTTATTACTTGAAAGTAAAAAGCTACTTATTTACCATATTTTTTTTGTGGTAAATAAGTTTTTTATACTCAAAAAAATATGGAATTCTTATACGATTAGGATATATTAATACATATTTCAAAATGAAATCAGTGTCAGATACTAAAGTTGTGGAAGGAAGTCATAAATACATATCTCAAGCTTCTCAAAGAACGGGTGATTCCGTATCTTTTGCTAAAAATACAGCATTTGCTACTCAAAAAAAAACATACAGGGCACTTTCCGTTGATCCAGAATTATCAAATTAGACTAGAGTAAATATTTTATTTTATAAATCTCGTGAAGAAAATTGACTTCCTTTATTACTTTTTCCGCGCTTGCGCTGTTTGAAAAGCAGTTTGAATTAATGTAGAATGTCAATAAAACATCGGTAGCAGAGATGAAGAAATCTGAAGTTATTAAATTCATTTCTATGTAGAATTATGAATCCCTACTTATAAAATTATAAATGCAAAAGTAGCTTTATCTGTCTGTCTGTCGCGCTTTCACGCCAAAACTACCGAACCGATTTAGATGAAATTTGGTACACAGATAGTCTAGAGCTTGAGAAAGGACATAGACATACTTTTAATGCGAAAAAAGAGTCTAAAAGACTGAAAGGGGGGGATGAAAAGTTATATAGAAGTATCGTCATTTCTAGAGCTAAAAGCTTGAAACTATTTTTTTAGGCTGTGGATTCGATATAAATAAATAAAATACTAAGCTTACACATCTGAATAACACATACGCTATCTATATATATTATTATATTGTTGTTCGTTAGTTTCGCTAAAACTTGAGAACGGCTGGACCGATTTGGCTAATTTTGGTTTTGAATTATTTGTGGAAGTTGATGTGTTCCCCGTCGGGCGGATTCCTTTTGTTTGTTTTAAGTTTATTTGATACAAAAGTTTAGGTCTTTTATTTAACGATTGAGGCACTACGAAGTCTGCCGGGTCAGCTAGTAATTTATAAAAATATAGTGTGAATTACCCAAAATAACGATAAGTGTCAAGTAAGAACGAAAAAAAATTGGCCATCTATGATTTATTTTTGCGTGCGCCGCTAAAACCGCTTTATACGTATATAATGTAAAACGGAAATGTTTATCTCAAATAGTCGCACAAAAAAGCCCGTGACATCATAATATATCTATATTTTAATTGTAAGCCATTATCGCCAAAATAGTGAACCATTAATATAAGAAAAGGATAGGTTATTTTTATTTGTTACTTTCTTTTTTTATTATGTTTGTTATTGTCAGGACCAGATTTGTATAAAAAATATTCAATAAGATCAATAATAAATTATAGCCCCCGAAGCGAAGTGAGGACGGGTCGCTAGTCACTACATAGTATAAAACAAAGTCGCTTTCTCTGTCCCTATATCCCTATGTATGCTTAAATCTTTAAAACTACGCAACGGATTTTGATGCAGTTTTTTTTAATAGATAAAGTGATTGAAGAGGAAGGTTTATAATATGTATAATAATATCCATTAAATAGTGGAGAAATCAATAACAAATTACAGTTTCCGAAGCGAAGCGAGGGCGGGTCACGAGTTTACTATAAAATCGAATTTAAAGGTAGTTTCTTTGTTTTTACAGAGAAAAACTCATTGAAGTCTTATTTAAAAATCAATAAGTATGATAAGATGTTCATACATCTTATAAATCAATTATTTTTTGTTAAATCTAAACGTGTAACTACAACTTACCTATCGTTTTGTAATTGTAAAACTGCACAAATGTTTAAAATCAGACGAAATTTCAAAAATCTAATCCAAAGGTTTCATATAGCGTCAGTGAATTAGTGAAACTATTCTTAGTTGCGGTGTTGCTTATTGTATTTATTTATTTATCCTTAAACGAATAATACCTGCATTTCAGTTAGATATCAGATAATTGTCCTATGTACTTGAAAATTCAACCTTATACGTCAAAGTAGTTGGCGGTATTGATATAGCCTATTGATAATTATTATTAAATAGGATATAATAGGATATAATAGGAGTCCGTTTCAGACGAAGCCTGATGTCCAAAGATTTCCATTTTTCTCAGTCCAAATTTTATATTAGGCTTGCGTTATCTTCCGAGCGTGTTATGTTTGTTGATATTTCGTGTCCACCTGTGATCGTTGAGAAGTATTTAAATATGGTGGTGGTAGGACCTCTTGTGAGTCCGCACGGGTAGGTACCACCACCCTGCCTATTTCTGCCGCAGTAATGCGTTTCGGTTTGAAGGGTAGCTGTTGTAACTATACTTGAGACCTTAGAACTTATATCTCAAGGTATGTGGCGCATTTACGTCGTAGATGTCTATGGGCTCCAGTAACCACTTAACACCAGGTGGGCTGTGAGCTCGTCCACCCATCTAAGCAATAAATAAAAAAGTACATGTCTGGTGTTTAATCCTTTTAACATTTGTCTTTTTGATCTTATCCTTTTGAGTATCGTCCCGTGTATTTTTATGGATTATTTCTTTTTTTGGGAATACTGTGTTTCTGTCTTATATGTATTTTATTTCAATTTTATTTTTGATGTGAAACATCTATAGCCGCACGTAAAACCGATTTCAGACGACGCGTCGCCACGCTATATGATGGTACATATTATTATACTTATATGCAGTAGTGTGTACGGTGTGGCGACGCGTCGCCATGCGCAATCGACTGTGCGATTCTCTCTGTGTTTTACTTGAAAACAAATTATTTTTTCGTAAATTTTATTTTATCATTATGACATATTTAATTCCTATCACCACCTGTTCTTTTCTGCATATTACTTTTACAAAATAATGTCGATGTTTCACATCTGCCAAGCGTCCCGTGACGGCTCATATTTTTTTATATATTTTACATTTATAATTTTATTTATATTTTAATTTTATAATTTCATTTTCATAAGAAACCATCACAACTCAGGCTGTATGTCCGCTTCGGTAGATAACACTACCTAGGTTATTGCTGCCGCCAAACAATCTTGTGTTCCAATTTGAAGAGTGGGAGAGCTCTTGTTCAATAAAATTAAGGCTTCGACCTCATGCCTCAAGCTGGGTGGTGACGTTGACGTGTTTGTCTATGGCTTCCGGTAGGCACTTAACCCCAGATGAATCACGAGCTTGTTCAGGAAACTAAGTAATAAATATACAAATCTAGAATTTCCATTTGGCAGCCACAAGTTAGGGGTAGGTTTTTGTTTATTTACTAGCTGACCCGGCAGACTTCGTAGTGCCTCAATCGATAAATAAAAGACCTAAGCTTTTGTATAAAATAAACTTAAAACAAACAAAAGGAATCCGTCCGACGGGAAAAAACAAAATTGTTATTTTTATTAAATTCCGAGCATTCTCATATTATTATTTATCTACCTTTTAAACCTTCTCTGGATTTCCACAAATAATTTAAGACCAAAATTAGCCAAATCGGTCTCGCCGTTCACGAGTTTTAGTGAGACTAACGAACAGCCAGTCATTACTGCTTACCTGGGTGGACGAGCTCACGGCCCACCTGGTGTTAAGTGGATACTGGAGCCCATAGACATCTACAACGTAAAGGCCGCTACCTTGAGATATAAGTTCTAGGTTCATACAATTTTTTAAAACCTTCTTAATTTACTTTTGCCTATTTGATTTTTCAACCTTTTTATCCATATTTTTTCAGAACCAATTAGTTTTACTACGTCAATATAATGATCTAAGGATACTAGTGGATCATTTCCTATTGCTTTTTTCCGTTTAATTGGACAAGCTTTTCTTTCTTAATTCTTACAAAGAAATACAAGCATCGAAAAAAATCTCTTGTGAATCAAACTCGTGCAAGTAACAGCCATTACGTGGGACAATTAGATCAAGTTCTGTTTGAAAGGGCCAGTCCGGTGAATTAAATTATAGCACCGTAATAGGAATGCGATATATCTATTTAATTATAAATTTAACCATTTTATTTGTATTTAACTTAATTTTTTTTTTTTGTATATTGAATGTTTTTTGTTAGTTTTTATTTGCAGTTTTATTGTGTTTTCTTAATTTTTATATCTATACACTCGTATATTGTTATTTATTTATTTTAAATTAAAGTCATCCTCTGACGACTTCTAAAACAACCGACCTTATGCAAGCTGTGTCAAAATGATAAATTGAGAAGTGTATTCATCATTTCTATTTAAAGTAAATGTTAATGTGTGTAGATGTTATCCAGTTGTGTGAATCTAATAAATAAATAAAAAATTTAAAAAATCCAAAAGATTTTTATTGCATATTTGAGTGATTTGTAGCTACTACCTTCGCGGTAGGTTGGGATTAGAATAATTTGATAAATTATTATAGAAAAATGAAGAAATACAATCATTTGAAACTCAATAAAAGCCTCTAGGAGTCCACTTTATTCTACTTGTTTTGAAATTAATAAAAATCTTTCGTGACGACATCAAAAGCCAGTGTATGTAGGTGATGTGGCGTGGGAGTTCAAAATCCTTTTTTCGATTTCAGCTCATGGCATTTAATGAGCTTTATAGGGTTGACTTAGCTTCCAAAGCCAGAACATAACTACACAGATTGCAATAGTTCACTTAATTCTGTATGACTTTATGTGTAACTCCATTTGTACAATCTTTAGATATCTGCTCGTTACAGGATACGCCGCTTTTTTTGTCGATATTTTTAGACTACCGCCTTTTTTATTCAAGTGAAACTTTTATTACATCGTCTCAAACTTTTTCGTCTGTGTGTTGCATGTCGCGTGACGGTCGGCCGCGGAGTAGGGATAAAGTGAAAGGCGCTCGTCAGAGCAGGCAAGGCCAATATGGCGGCGCCTATAGTTCGCAGCAGCTGACCGTATAGTGTATAGACTATCACTCATTTGTGCCAGTGCTCCACGCTATATTGTTTTTGTTTTTGTCAGAGATAAATGTCTATGATGTGAAAAAAGTTTCACTTTTACCGTGGTTTCATAAAACCACACAATCCTTTTGTATGTCACGTCCGCACTACTACAGTTGATCTTAACAACAGTGTTGCTATTTGGCAATCCGCAAATTGTCTTAATTTGAACACGATAAATTTTGTTTTAATTATTTTACAACAAACCTTACAATAGGTTCTCTAATGTGGGTAGATAACAAAGGGAAAATTCTAAGAATACCTACGTAACCATAACTTTGTCTCTACTATTGTTATTATAGCTCCATATGTGCTTTGGTACTTAGTCTTCCTTTTTTTCGTAGTAAGTACATGCGTATACTTCTCTATTATATGTTTGCTATTAGCCTAGATAGGCAATGAACTCCAGCCTTTCTACTATCAAACGACTGCAGGATTTAATGAGCATTGCAATATGAAAGTTTCACTAGCTCAGTAGTGAAGAGAGATCCGAAAGAGCTCAATATTTTTTTAATGAAATACTAAATAATTAAATGCGTGGAAAAAACTCTTTGTGACTTTTTTAATGATGGCGATGTATACATATACTAGCTATGGGAGTATAACACTAAATATGGGAGTCAATAAACAAGTAAAAATATAGTATGACTAAGCTTACATTAATGGAACTAAATGTCACGTTCTACAAAATTAATAATGTTATCGTTTTGTCAATCCCAATTGTAACTGGTAGCATCGATAATTAAAAAAAATATTCGTGAATGTTATGAAATATTCAAGAGAAATTAGAATTTTAAATCTATGTTAACCGAATAACGTCGTCATCTCAAAACTTTTCCGGAATAAACGAAGGAAAATCACAACTTTCCTTGTCTGAATTAAAGAGTAAGGCTTTATTGAAGTTTCGAGTGAAGATGATGTTTGGCTGAATTTAAAAAGCTCTGGTAGGGCCTGTAGGGGTAAGAAAGACCTGTACGTCTGGGTACCGCCATCCCGCCTACCCCAGCCGAGAAGCTTCACACTTTTCGGTTTAAAATGGAAGCCGTTTCATCATCCGGTCAAATACGTCACTAAAAATATATATCTGGTATAATGTATTTATCTATCTCTATATTTAAAAATTAATTGCTGTTCGTTAGTCTCGCTAAAACTCGAGAACGGCTGGACCGATTTGGCTAATTTTGGTCTTGAATTATTTGTGGAAGTCCAGAGAAGGTTTAAAAGGTAGATAAATATGAAAATGCTCGGAATTAAATAAAAATAACAATTTTCTTTTTCCTTTGATGAGGCCCAGTCGGACGGATTCCTTTTGTTTGTTTTAAGTTTATTTTATACAAAAGCTTAGGTCTTTTATTTAACGATTGAGACACTACGAAGTTCTGCCGGGTCAGCTAGTTTAATAATAAAGAAGCTCATAAAGGTAACACAAGTTAGTATATTAGTAATTACGTCATTACCATTTCTCGGCAACAAACTAAATGTACATCCGAGCTACTCGATCACTGGAGCATTAATGAAATAAAATATTTTGATCTTCAAAACGCATGCTAAAATGAAAAGCATAATACGATATAGAAATAGTACATTTGTTTTATAAAAACAATTAGTTTTTCAAATTGCTACACAGCGTAAAGTAATAATAACAGTCGGTACTTTTAATCAATATCTTCTATCTATGTTTCAGCCTACAAAGGTCATCTAACTTGATTAAAAACACAAAAAAATACCTTGGATTGTCGTGCCCCTGCTTACCTTAACGTACAATAATCATTGTCCGAAGGAAGACAACTCATAAATACGCAGTATTATACACTGTGGATGTCAATATATTACACAGTTTTATTTGTTGACATTAAATACTCCAAAATTTTATGATGCAAAAAGCTGACAACGCTTTTTTCAATTTTCAGGGGACTTTTTCTGAAAAAACTAAACATAATTACAAAATAACATTATATGAACTGAGTAATCTACATAATACATTATATTAACTTTGATAAAGAAATTTAAGCCTCCACGATTAATCTATTTTAAATAGAAAGAAAAAAAATTACCCCTTTTTTTTCTTTTCCTCAAGCGATTTGCTTTGTTTAGTAATAGTTGATAGTATATTTTTAAAAATATAGCATTACCTAATTGTGTTCATCAAGGAATATATTATTTAAGACTGACAATAGTAGTAGAAGTACTAACTTAACTAACTTTTTTCTCAAAGATCTTCGATCTAAAATAAGTAAATAAATAAAATTATAATTTTAAAATTTATTAAAGCTAAGTGGACCCAAAATAAAAGAATTTAAATTTCAGTTAGAACTTTTATTGTGGTTAAAACATTTTCAAAAAGCAAAATAGTACATTTTGTTATTATAATTTTAATTTATCTTAAAACGAATATTAACTCGAAACATTCAATCGGCCGAATAGTATGCCTATATATTACCGTTCTAGACAGACCAGCTTTCAACTCCACCTATCCGTTGCCGATTTACCAAAAAAACTTACTGCTATTGAAATCTAAAGAGATCTAAAATCTCAATGCTTAGTTGAGAAATTTAAGCCTCGGCTCAAACGCAGTTAATTTATTCCGAATAATCTCTTTCTTCCGTAAATGATAGTTATTGGTGTTTGGTGTAGTTACAGTTGTTTTTCTCAAGCTTTTGATCGATGCCTGCAGCAAATCTAGCAGGAACCACATTATCTCAAGGAGACTGATAATGGATCCTCCTAAGCAAAGGCCAAAAATGCCGCCTAGGTTTGCTGTAAAAATAGAAGTGACTTTGAAACAAGATGTTTTGATGTCGGTACAAATGTTTTAAATATCGGTGCAAATTGATAGCAGAATTTGTGGTCAAATCATCAGTCAGTCCGGCTGTAAGTAGGTTTTTGTTGCTTATATGGGTGGACGACCTCATGGCCAATCTGGTGTTCAGTGGTTATCGGAGCCCATATACATCTACAACGTAAGTTCCGCCACCCACCTTGAGACATAAGATCTAAGGTCTCACTTTTAACAGTACAACGGCTGCCCCGCCCTTCAAGCCGAAAGGCATTACTGCTTCACGGCAGAAATCGGCATGGCGGTGGTACCTACCCGTGCGGACTCACAAGATATCCTACCAGCAGTAAAGGTATTTTATGGAGAACGTAAAACAGAATACGTGACATCAAATCCTACAAGGGTAGCTTGGGAACACAATAATACTGATAAATAAAGATAGTTCTTTAGAATCCAACGTACACAATATGTTTTACGTCAATCTGGCCACATAAAGGTTTAATTTTTTTAATTGACTTTCTAGGCAGACGAGCATACGGCCCACCTGATGGTAAGTGGTTATCGTCACACATGGACATCAGCAACGCCAGGGGCACAGCCAAGTCGCTGCCTACCATTTTCATAGGAACTGCTCCTTCTATCGAGAATGATTGGTCCCTTGCCATAAGAGGATGAGTGACTTGAAGGGGACAAAAAAAAAAGCAAAACGCAAGCAAAAAATACACCACAAGATTAAATTTTAGACATTTACATACATATTATATAGTTTTACTATTGTATATCATATTTTTTTGTTATACGCAAAGAAAATTTCCTAAGTCTTACCCAACATCTGATCCCAGGTGTAAAGGACTTCCCTCCTGTACTTCATGCAGGTTGTGTCAGCAAAATGTACTGACACTCTGCTACTAGTCCCATTCACGACGCTATCACAACATACAAATTCCATTATGACTAAAATCAATATGACCTTATCATCTCATGCGTATTTTCTAGATTTATATGGATGAGAAAGTACTATTTCTTTTAATTTCTTATGTCATTTATTGCTGTTTTGATTGTTTTTTTTATTGCCTTTGTAGACGAGAATACAGCCCACCTGATAGTAAGTGGTCACCGTCGCTCATGGACGTCAGCAATGCTGGGGGCAGAGCCAAGCCGCTGCCTACCATTAAGTACTCTCCGCAAGCCTCGTTTGAAGAAGGACATGTCATAACGCTCGGAAAACACCGTGGAGGGGAGTTCATTCCAAAGCCGAGTTGTATCCACAAGTAATCCTCAGTAGGCAGTGGCATTGCTGAAGTCCATGGGCGACGGTAACTACTCACCATCAGGTGGACCGTATGCTCGGCTGTCTACAAGGGCAATAAAAAAAAATTAAACAGGAAATTTTGTGCTTTTAAAATCGTAAAGTATCGTCTGAAGCATACGTGTTTAAGCGATGATTCTTGATGAATTCCACTTCGGTTTCGTACTGCACGTAGTCGCATCTCTGGTAACACTCGCTGTCCGCTATGATGCCTCGGATGTCAACTTCAGTTTTTTCTAAAAGCATTTCGTTTATTTTACGTTAATTCTATTTTCGTTTTCCGAATGATGTCAGCACAACATGTAAGTTTATTCAAAGTTTCAAAAGTTGATTCAAAGTTCTACGACAGGCTATGTTTCCTCCTATGTTGGGAAATATCTTGCCAGGCAGTGGTAAGCTGGGAAAGGAATAGGTTTATGTTAGGAAATAAGTTAATGTAAATACTTTCTGTGAAACTTGAGTTGAGGGTCTATATTCAATATGAATGCCTCATTCCATTAAAAAGTCAGAATAGTTTGTCACGCCTGTCACATAGATCAAACTGTAATGCATGAAAGATTCGCGGCAGAAATAGGTAAGATTTATATCTGCGAGTCCACAATATGCCCTGATAAAGACACTTGTTCACAATAAATCCAATAAACTCCTATTGGATGCTGAAACTGTGTAGAACAGTCACCAGATTATAGGTAAAAATATTGGTTGAAAGTTTGAACATTAAGTTTACCTATCATTTGGTAAATGCACAAAAGTCTCTCCCACGTGCACGAAGGGAAATCTTCCACACCCAAAGTTTTGGCTGAAAAAAATTAAAATATGATGAAAAACATTAGTTTCGCTATCTTGCATTTTTAAAGACTGTATTGTATTATTAATTGTTATTTTGTCACTTTTATGCATTCCATGAATTTCAGTTTAATTTTTGTCTATTTTTGTGTAATTGAAGTAAAGCTGTTGTATTCTTTGTACGAAGAGCGCTGCTGCTTGAGATACAGGTTTTATCACCTAGTTCAAGCACAGATGCACATTACGATTGTCATTCTACTTCTATGTTAATAATAAATAAATAAATAAATAAAAGTATTGTGGAGGTTGGCGACCAATAAAGCTACCTATTCTTGTAGAGCAAGAGATGAAGTCGTATACCTTTGTCTTCTGATTACTAGTCGGTATAGTTATTATCCAACATACCAACCTTTAAATTGAAAAGGTAAACAGCGACAGTGATTCACGACACGTCTTAAAATGAGATGACTCATGCAACCCTGGTAGAAGGCAGCACTGACTCTTTGATCCTGTAATAGTGTATTTTTTTAAAAACTAAATTCGAAAACAGTATTCCTTTTTAATAGTATAAATGAGACGATCTAGAGGATAATGAGTCAGGTGATTATCGGAGACTATGGACGACATTGTTAATAGATTAAAGACACCGGTTCGGACTATCACTTGTATTGAAACAGTAATTACAATGCTGATCACGTGATTTCTTCATGACCATTTTCAAAACACAAATTGTATTTAGGGGGCTTTAAAATGGTGTGTGTTGATCAAAGTATCAAAGAAATACCCAAATGCTAAAGGTGTATCTGTATAGGTATAACATATTCCCGTGAAGATTGTTAGTGAGACTTAATGTCTCAACTAGTTCTGCTATCGTCATTAAACAATATGTAAAATTTGGCTATGACATAACGTTCTTAATATACCAAAACAAAATACCATTCAATGACTCATGACAACAGAAACACAACTGTACATTTTATTTTCCAAGAAACCAGTTAGCTTTGGTCTCATTAAGCTTGGGCGTATCATGTGACTGAGGTCGTTAGAAAGGGTTAAAAGGTTAACGCGTTTGGCAGATACTTTCGCTTCAGTATGATAGTAAACGGGAAGAATATATATATATATATATAATTATATTATTCAAGCCTCTTAAAATACAAACACGTACAAGAATTCTTAACACTAGTATAATAATATACATGGCTTTTTTATGAGGTATACAATAACAATATTCCCTGACTTTTATGCTAGGAAAACCTGTGTTACAAAAGTCAGTGGTTCAGTGCTAGGTCACTAGGTAAAGAAAGTTAACCAGGAAAAGAATGTGGCCTTGTGAAGTTATATGGTTTTGTTTTAAGACGTCGATTGGGTTGCGATTGTTCCTAATCTTGAATGTATGTCTACTTGTTTAATATAATATATTATTTTGTCTATACTAAACAGACTGAATACTACTACATATTTACTACTCCAATTTTCTGCCTTACACTTTCCTTGTTCATGAAAAGTTATGAGTCTACACCAATAATTGTTTCATTGTTGTTAATTATGTTTAAAATAAATAAGGCTATGATAAAACTCATTAGGAGCGGTTTCCTGCTGTCAAACTCCTATTAGCTCTGCCAACTCTCACGGACAAATGAATTCACGCCATTTATCTTAATTATCACCAATCTATTTTGTATCTATGTTACCGGAAATGTATGAAATCAAGGAATTGTATACAAATCCTAGGAAATGTGTACAATTCCGATACTATTTAGGAAATGTATAAAATATTGTTTGAAAAACTATTTAATGCATAGATATCCTAGGAAATGTATAAATTTCCTCGGAATTGTATATAATTCCAATATCGTATTAGGAAATGTATAAAGTAAATGCTTTCTGTAATAAAACACGTTGTTAATAATATTTTTTTATTATAACACTATTGAGACAATCGGGTAACAGTCATACCGTAAAATAATAATAATATATTCATATTATCTTACTAATTAAAACTTCTAAAATCAATTATCTATTAACTTTTAACGTATCACAAAATCAACTTATATTTATTCTTATAAAATCAAATTTTCATTTGGCAAGTAATCAGTCTGATAATTAAGTAATTATAAATGTCAAAGTATAAAAGTAAATCTTTATATTATAATACTTTGTCAGTCCATATAGCTATTTATTTTTGCAGGGTAAGCTCGAATGGCATTTGGAAGTACATAATACTTTATTTTTAAAACACAGACATCTTGATGTAGCACAGTTTTTCTTGCAAAGGCACTTCTTAAATCCCTGGCCGGTTCCAGTGGATTGCAAGTTGGCAACTGACCGTAGTGCAAGACTCGTCCCGCTGTCCCCGCGTACCCACCAATATCTTAAATGTTTTACATTTCCGATTGCTATTTAGGAAATGTATAGATTTCCTAGGAAATGTGTAATGTGTAAGTATAATATAATTTATTTCACACATTTCCGTGCGATTTTAGGAATTACATACATTTCCTAGGAATTGTATACAATGACGGATTACATACATTTCCGTTAACATCTATACAAATAACAGAATCATAAACCGTTTGTTCGTTTATGTAGTTGATCTCCTCAAGTTCTGAAAATACCATTTTTTGTTTTAGGTGTACAAAACAAATGAAAAAGTTGAAACTTAGAATAACTTTAACATTATTTGCTTAATTTTTGATTGTCATTGTAGGCAGACGAGTATATCCACCACCTGATAATGAGTGGCTAGCGCTGCTCACGGTTACATAGCCATCCTCCTCCTCACGTTGTTTTCCTCATTACTGAGGGTCGAGACTCCCTCGCTGCATCAGTTTCTCCCGTACGATTTCCCTCCATCTGCTGCGATCCTTTGCTTCATGAAGGGCATTGTGGAAATTGATGCTTAGAGAAGATCGTATTTGGTCCGACCATCGGAGACGTTTGCCATCTACCTTTCCTGTCACCATCAGCTGTTCAAGATTGTGACCCTCTTTACGAGCAATATGTCCGAAGAATTCCAGCACCCTACGAAGGCATATAGTGGAAAGTTTGGCTTTGATATGAAGCTCTCTCAGAATAGACACGTTGGTGCGAAAGACGGTCCATGGAATCTGTAGCATTTTTCTCCAGCACCACATTTTAAAAGCGTATATTCGGTCTCTGTCGGCCTTCTTCATTGTCCAAGTCTCCGCGCCATAACTGAATATTTAGAAAACTAGCGAAGTCACCAATTTGGTTTTAGTTTTTCGCGTGATGTTACGGTCTCTCCATATCTTATGCAGCTGGGACATTGCATTTTTGGCCATCCCTATACGTCTCCTTATCTCTTTTTCGCATGATCCTGTGTTATTAATGTTAGACCCTAGGTAGACGAAGTCGCTTACGATGTCAAGGTTCAGCGTTCCCGTTAGTTCAAGGCTGTTGGTTCGATCCACAATCATAACTTTGGTTTTGCTGTGATTGACTTTTAGACCCAACAGCAAACTGATGTTCTCAATCCGAGCAAGGAGGTTCACCATCTCGATTTCACTTGCAGCAAGAAGTGTGGTGTCATCTGCGTAGCGGAGGTTGGTTATTTTAGTGCCACCTATTGTGACTCCACCCTCCCAACCTTCACATGCCCGCCTGATTATGTACTCTCCATAGGCGTTAAAGAGAATAGGGGACAGGATACATCCCTGTCTTACCCCTTTACCGAAACCAAAAAGCTCTGATGTGCAGTTCTCGACCTTTACCATTCCTTGATTGTCCAGGTATAGAGAGCGGATGAGGGCAACGAGGTGTGGTTGTACTCCCAGTTCACTAAGTACCTTCCATAGGTCCGACCACACAACACAGTCAAAGGCTTTATTTACTGTAGTCGATAAAGCAAAAGATGGTGGGTGTGCTGAACTCGTAGGCCTTTTCGATCAATTGGCGAATATTTAGAATTTGCTCACGGGTTCCTTTGCCCTTTACAAAACCCGCCTGTTCCTGTGATATTTGCCAGTTCAGATAGTATTGGATCCTGTTATTGATGATATGTAACATCACTTTGCTGGCATGTGATATCAGTGCAAGGGTTTTATAATTATCGCACATAGAAGTGGATCCCTTTTTGTGAAGAGGTAATATGATCGACTTAGTCCAGTCTGAAGGCCATCTTCCAGTTCGCCAGATGTTGTCGCAAATTCTGTGTAGGACTTTTACGGCTTTAGCTACATAGCCATGAGCACAGTCAAACCGTTGCCTGGATATACGAAGTTTTGAACACCCACATTCAGGTCTACATTAGGTCAGGCAATCTAATCGTTTTCGACAAAATCCTTCCTTCCACAAAAGTGCTACCTATAAACTAGACTTTTTACGGTATAGTTCGTTAAGTAGAGGGACTCATGAGCACACGACCTAAGATGGCTTCGCCGCAGTAGTCTGCAAGACTGTAGTGCCAAGCAGTATAAGCTTACGACATTTCTTAAGATAAGGATTCAGTTTGAGAATTAGGAAATAAACAGAGAAATGGACAAGGATACTGTCACAGTTAAGTACCTTTTTATTCTCTGTTAGCAAATCTTATTTTCACTGGGGTCTACCCCTTAAGAATCTATTTTATTAAAAGGCGCAAGTACAACAATTTGATGAGGAGGAGGAAAATCGAGCGCTCTCAAAAAAGTCTTTTGTTTTTTATTCAAATAGTACTGTATCATATAATACGAGTACCTTGACATCATTAAATTGTTTCGCCTCGTATTGTGTCCCTTCAGTAAAATATCGACTTGACGTTTCTATTTGACTACAGATTGAGTTAGTGCACCAAACTCTACTTCACATGCTACACCCAATAATTGAGATATTGTTATAAAAAATAATATTTTCGATTTATTTCTCTCTATGTATACATATTAAAGAATCATTTTTATCTATTTAAGTAATAAGACAAAATCGCTTCAATATCTCGACAAAAAGTTCATTGGTACCAATTTACAATTTTCACAAATTATAATAGATAGATAATTAATACACAGAAGTAGGCCATTCAAACGAGAAAATCATATTTGAAACTTTTTTCAGCCCACTAACGTCGATTGCTGAACATAGGCCCTCCCCTAAGGTTCACCATAATAACCGGTCCCGTGCAACCTACGTCCAGCGGATTCACACGACTTTCACCAGGTCGTCGGCTCAACTCGCCGGAGGCTTACCCACGCTATGCTTTCCAGTACGCGGTCGCCACTCAAGAACTTTTCGGCCCCAGCAGCCATCTGTTCCACGAGCTATGCGCCCTGTCCACTGCTACTGCAATCTTGCAATCCTCTGAGCTATTCCTCTTTGAGTGATATTGAACAATCCGTACGCAGGCTCAGGGACCCCGATAACCGTACTCGTAGAGCTCGGCAAAGAGTTCGACGTGAAACCTAACACATGCATCAGCTCGCTGAGTTTCTCGCCGAATCTGCTCAGCAGTTCGCGACTCCGTAATACTGGGTATTAGATTTCTTCGCGAAGCAGGTTGTTAGGTCTCCTTTGGAGA